TATATATATATATATATATATATATATATTTATATTTACTAAAATTGTCCAACCCCATACCATACCTATTCCATGGAATATCATGGCAAAATCCAGCACCAGGTTGGTGTTCTGCCCACTTCTCTAGTTTACACTTGCTAACTTTAAAATAACCCTTTGTGGTCACACATTGCATTGTTTCCAGTAAAATACCTTTTCAAACATATGGACGTTTGAATACTTTCTCTGGGTCTTCTCTACATGAATTGTCCCCTTTCTTCCTTGAATGGAGCACAGGAAACTTTTGCCACTTACCAGTTCCTAGCTGCTGAGGTGGTAGACTATGAATAATTCTCACCAATTAGACTCAACAACTAGCCGTAATACAAAGGACTACCAATATATACTGAAAAGTGGGGTGGTGGTAACGCTATCACTATAGTGCAGGCCACTCCTTGTATACATCACTCATGCCACTTTTGCTCTCCTGTATCCTGAGTCTGTTCAACCACACACTTTATGAAACCAAATGGTGTGAATAACATGCTGTGCCCTCTTTCTGTAGCTGGAGTCTGTCCCATAGAGTATGACAGTAGATTTGAGGTATGCATATAAATTCATATTTCATAAATAATATGCCCTCTTCCTGCAGCTGGAATCTATCCTGTGGATTTTGATGGTAGAGCACACAAGGTGCAGTCTGAATTGGACTACTTATGTGCGAGTACTTGGCAGTCATGTTCACATTCCGCCTGTCCCTGTGACATATATAGCTTTTTGCCTTTTTCTCTTTCCTTTACATGTAAAGAGTTATATCCTGGATGAAATAAAATAGTGTCCCATGGGTGTGCCTCTATGGAGCCTCTGCCATTGGATGTCACACACAATGGGCTTCCTTTGGGAGCTTTCTGAAGGATGCTTAACTAGGTAAATTTGCATTTGTCCCTCCACCTCTTCAATTCTAGCTAAAGTGTTTGTGGAGGTGAGGTATCTCTTTAAAGGTTAATATTTTCTTACCTGAAAATGTATTTCGGATAGATACTCACCTCTGTACACAGGTCCCACTCATCCTCCCCACATTGTTTGTTTTGCCACATTTTAGAAAAATCATTATGTAGGGTATTTTACCTTATTTTTTCAAATGTTTACAGGAAATATTTAAGACAGAATTATTTATTAACTCAGTCCTGTATCACAAAGGATTAAATGTGTAGAGTTATGATTTTGTTTTTGCATTTATGACTGAGATGGTATTTCATAATCTTATAGTCACATTTATTATTATTAAACCAGGCTAAATGTTTTTTAAACAAGTATAGTCTGGAGTCTCTAAGTTTATGAATTAGAAAGTAGGTATTGTTGGGTAGTAGAAAATTGTAACAAATAGAAAATTTGGCTGATGTCAGTTCAAGTACTAGAAGATAAAAATAATATTATGAAAAATTTTAATCTTTATATATTACTTATGTTCTCATAGATCTAAAGTAAACAATTGGTATAGGTGTAGACAAAAGTTGTTAACACCAAGGTAAGATTTTATTGGTATTGTTAGTGATAATTTTAAAGTTGAAGTCCTTTCAACAAAATATTTTTCTAACTTACAATTAAATATAAATATATATATACTTATGCTTAAATGTCACTTTTAACTCCTTAAACCTGAACAGATGCTATCGGTGTTTGGCCAAAAATCCCGATTTCCCCATCAGTGGTGACAGCATCTGATTACATTTATGTCTCATTTACTGAAAACTAATCCAACCCATGTTATTATCTACAAAATTAACAACATTGAAATTTTATAAGACATGGTGATAATTATTAGGAAATTATGAAAATAATTCCAGCAGAATGCATAAAAAGTTACAGGTTTAAAGAGTTAAGTTCTTGTAAAGTTAATTATCACATTGTCCGTATTTCTTATTCTAAATTTTATGTGTAGATTTGTGGAATACAAACCAACATCTTTAGAAAGAAACTACAAGCATGATCTTTTGACAGAACATGATATGGGTGTTGTTATTGACCTAATAAACCCAAATACATATGCTGTGGATTTGAATGGTATGTATTAAACCTCAGTAACAAGATTTTGCATTGTTTTTAAGCTATTGAAACAAAGCTTCTGAACCTTCTTAAAATTATATTTCTAAGTACGGTCTTAATTTATTCATAATTCTGTGAATTGACTTTTTAAGACTTCTTTCTATTCCATAATAAACCTTATGCTACTGTTGTTGCATTAAGGACATCAGAATGCCTGAATTTGGATAGTACTTTCATTAGGTTGTTTTTAATTTTTCATTTATTTTTGCATTAAATAGGTTATTAAACAGTTTAATACATTTAAAGGAAATCTAAAACATAACATGCACTGGCAAATTCTTATATTTCGTAACCTAGTTGAGGGTATAAAAGTGGGCTTCTAGTGGTTCTGTTCTGAAAATAATTACTCATTAAACATATGTAAAATATTGAGCATCTATGGCCAGTAATATGTATGAGAAGTTTATAAAATGAACTTAATGACATATACATCCTTTCTGTGATGAGAAACTATTGGCAAAATAAATTCATACTTTTGTTATGTTCTAGAAGTGTTTTTCATATTTGGTTTAAAAGAGCTGAGTTGCACACTATACAGGATGGCAAATAAAAAACATCAGTGGATAACTTTCTTTGACCTAGTGGTTGTAGTTATGTGGCCATATAATAAGCTAAACATACATGCACTCAGCTAGCAAATTTTTTCTTTCTTTTAGTTGTTACAAGTGAATTTTTCTTCAACCACTACAGCCTGTTTTACATTATCAATAGCCATCTGAAACTTTCTCATGAGCACATCCTGTATACAGCACCGGTATTATCACATTAATATATATGTACAGTATGTTTGTAGATCATATTGTATCATCTATAGATACTTGCATGTGCTCCATTTAGTGTTACAGTGTTTTAAAATGTATTTTTCTTTTTAAATGATTTATTTAAAAGAACAACTCACTGATGCTTATAGTATTTAACGTCTTGATAAAATTATTTTCAATTTTTTTTATTATACTTGCATTTTTTACCTAGGTCTAAATCAAATAGATTAAGATAGATATCTTGTGAATGATTTGAATACCACAAATTTGAAAAGTTTTTGCTTATTAAAAGTGCATGAATTTATTGTAAAACTTGTAACATATCCTAATGAAAAGCAACACATTTTCCATGATTTTATTTTCAGTAGTGATAACCATAACTATTTTTCAGCATCCTTAGACCTTGAGGATGAAAAGCTTCTTGAAGAAGACAACCTTGGACCCCAAGATTCCAAAAGGTTTGTTTTTCATCAATAAACCAATTTAAAGGTCTTTGTCCTGTAAATTTATTTGTATATAATGTAAACAAATTAATGTGATAACACATTTGCATGTCATACCATCAGTTTCATATTTTCTGCTTTTCTTCATAACTACAAGTAATATCTGAATTTTTGTTGTTTAGTGAGATCTGAAAAAAAGCTGGAATTTTCTTTTTTTCAAGTTAAGCAAAAAAAAACTGATTTATTAGAATATAACCTTACTCTTCATTTTCATAGACAATTTAGTCAAAGAAGTTACAATAATTTATTGTGTGCCTAGATCACGACATCACAACAAAGCTGTACCTTGGCTGAAGAAAACTGAGTACATTTCTACAGAGTTCAACAGATATGGAATTTCTAATGACAAAACTGAAACAAAGTAAGTGTATAAATATACTGTTGGGCTTAGAGTCCAGAAATTGTGGGTATATTTACCCATGTTTAAGAAAAATTTGGGTGTAATGTAATACTTTTTTGGTATTCTGTTTATATACATTTATGTTATTTGTAACTTTGACTGTTGCTTTTCCATGTGTGATGAAATTAATGTCTTTGTTTTGTTGGCATTTTAAATGTATTGGTTTTATGTATTATTATCATGAAACATAAAAGCAAGTACTGTTACTGCAAGATCATTATTCTGCACATCAGAATGACTGTATAATTCCATATTTCCCAGTCAAGTTTCATCTACAACGATCAATTGTTATATAAAAAAGCTAAAGCTGAAATGCTTATTTTCATACCAGTTAGATATATGTATTATAACATGTTTCACTATGCTTTTAAAAAAACTTAAGAAAATGAAGGAGGTCAATGTTAACATTACAACAACTTAACTTTTTACTGCCTTCAGTAAACAAACTTGTAAGGTTACTGAAATCTTTTTTCTTCCTTATACAATTGTACTAAACACCTTACATTACTGCTTTCTAACCTAGTCCTAAATCTGTTTTTAACAATTTAATTCTTTCCATACAGGCTAGGTGCACTGCACTTAATTTGTAACCACCAAGGTAACCAAGAGATTAATCATACTATAACTTTTGATAATGTATACATATATTCATGAAATTTCACACACTATCAGTAAATTTTACAAGTCTTTTGGAGACAAAAACTCAGAATTTTTAATTAAGTATTTTTGATAAAAAGTTGTCCATGAATATGTGAAGTCAGAGTGTTGACTGCTCTGAGTGCAAAGTGATTTTCATATTAAGATTAAAAATACTTTTCTTCATCTGAAAATTGTCAGATTTCATTTGCACAACCTCTGAAACCTTCTAAATAAGTATCAAACGTTTTTTTTTTAAAGAAACCTTTATATTGTAGCTGTTATTTTCCCTCTCCTAGGTTTAAACTGGGTTGGTCAATTTGACTGACCTTGTAACCACCATAAAAAATTAGAAAATAAATCTAAATTACCCTATTTTATTTCTAGAATGATTGCAAATTGTAACAGGAAACTGTATTTGTTTATCCTAACTATCTTAAAGCTCATAACAGTATACAACTGTTTATACTTAATTGTATTGTTTTATTGATATTTGAACCATGTCTAACTAATAATCTTGCCAAATAAGTTGTAAATTGCTCAGTGAACATGCAGCTCACATTACTGTATCAAATTACATAATGCATAAGCTACTCGTGAGCATATCTAGTGTAGTTTTTTTTGTCTTCATTATCTTATGTAATCTAACCTTGTCTGAGCTAATAAGTTTCTAATTTGTTGCATTTTAGTTACTTTTATAACAATAGATACCGAATACACATGAAAAATAAGATATATATAGTACTTAGCTGGGTTTTTTTTTTTTTTCTGTCATCGACTGTCATTGAAACTTAAGCCTACCTTATTCTACTAATGTTATTACTACACTGCTAAATAATTTTTTTAGAAAACTCACTCTACAGAAAACAATGTAATGTAGTGCGTCATTTGATAGAGTAAAACTTTGGCTTTCTATTGGTTATATATATTATAGTATTAAATGCCAGAGAGAACTATTGGCAATTTGTGAAAGAGGATGTGACAAATGGGTGTGGCAAGTTGGTTTGATTTTTTTTTGTTTTTTTTTTTTTGTTTATGGCTTCATCAACAAATAAGGTTGAAGGCTATAAAAAATTGTTTTGCCTGAGTAATAGCTGTATTATAAAGAGTAATTTACATTAAATTCCATACTTCTGGGAGGGGTGGTAAATAAATTAGAGAAGAGAGGAGATCTAGAGTACAAATTTCACAATTCTCTTACTAGGAGAGATTAGGGATTTTTGAAAATATTTTGTTATAGAATTAAGCACTTAAAACGTATGTAATATTGAAATGTGATTTATTAACTACATTTGATGCCAAGTTTATTTGTATACATTGATAATAAAGTAGTTTAATTGAATTTTGAAGATAATGCTGTAAAAATGTTGTGACATATGCAAAAAAGGGTAACCATATAGAAATGGTTAAACAGGAGAAACTATTTTCACAAAGAGCATTACTAATACATATTCTTTTTAGAATCAGTTGAGCAACTTTACTTATTTCATTAATAACAATCTCATGGAAATCAGTAGAATTGAGCCCTCAATAAGCTGAGAGAACAGCTTAAAATGTTGTCATTTCTTCTTTTAAGCTAACTTAAGTCTCAATTCTAACAGTGGAATCAAATCTCTTATTCTTCCTTTTCAGTTTGATAACTAGAAGGATTCATCATTGTTTCTAGTTTATGAACTATATCTAAAACTTCATGGGAAATCTGTTTTTAGGTTAGGAAAAACACTGTCTATAAACTTTACTTTAGTATTAACAACTGCTGCTTTATTATTATTGTCCACATATGTTAAAATGACACCTTACTGCATGTACTTAATGAATTGTCAAAACCAATAAAACATTGACAGCTGATACAGCATCAAGTCCCTGTTAACTTTTTGTGCTCCTTTTCACTAGTTTTTAATGCTTATAAGTTAGATACTGCACTGTATACAACAGGTTTCATAACAGTTAGTTCAGTCTGTCAAGTTGAACTATGTTGTTTAATGATTTTATGTATTATATCAAGTTAAATAGATAAGAAGGCAGGAAAACTTACTTGCTGTACTTTACGTTTGATACCTTTACACATGGCCAAAGTCTTGTCTGTTCTCCTCTCCTTACTGTGTGTTAAAGCTGGAACAATAAAAGGAAAATATTTCTGAGCTGCTTTCACAGTTTCAAACAGTGACAGCCCTCTAGTTTATCCTTTAACTCTCTCTCTACTTGGGCTCGGTTGAATTGACTAACCATGTGATCAATTTGTACTTGTTTAAAGTCATTATAGTTTTGATACTACTAACTTTTAATATAGCATATGTATCTTCACAAAATTGAACAGACATTCAGTAAACATTACAAGTCTTTTACATACAAAAAATCATATTTTTTAGTGAAGTATTTTTAATAAACTAAAATAAATTTGCCCATGAATATATGTTGAGTTTCTTTTTTTTTCTACTCTGAGTGCAAAGGAATTTTCATGTTAAGATGAAAAATACTTTTCTTCATCTCAAAATATCAAATTTCATTTGTGTAATCTCTAAAACCTCCTAAATACATTTCAAACGTTTTTTCAGGAAAACTTTATATTTTATCTATCCTAACTGTATACAAAGTTAGTCAATTTGACTCACCTCATAACCACCAAAAAAAATCAAAATAAACCTAAATTAACCTTTTTTTTTTCTTTCCAGAATGACTTCAAATTGTAACTTGAAACTACATTCGTTTACCCTAAGTAGCTTTAAACCATAACATTTATTTTTTATCGCCATTTGAACCATGTATAGCTACAATTCGTGCGATTATAAGCTGTAAATCAATTGGGGAACATGGGGCTCACATTACACTTTCGAATTACATTACCCATTAGATACTCCAAGCTGCTCATGTGCGTGCCTCCTGAAAATTTTTTATTATATTTTTATCATTATTTATTTTGCTTAATCTGACCTAAACTAACCTAAAGATATTTCTGTTTTTACATTTTATTTACTTTTATGAAAATAAATAAAGAATAAACATGAAAAACAAGAACTAAAGTACTTACCTGTACCTTCTTCTTCTCTTTTCTTTTTGCTCTTGACTGTTGATGGCATGGCCAGGTGGTTAGGGTGCTCAACACAATCTGAGGGCCATGGGTTTGACTCCCTGTTGGGACATTATAATGTGATGGTCAATCCCACTATTCGTTTGGCAAAAGAGTAGCCCAAGAGCTGGTGGTGGGTGGTGATGACTAGCTGCCTTCCCTCTAGTCTTACACTGCTAAATTAGGGATGGCTAGTGCAGATAGCTCTTGTGTAGATTTGTGCAAAATTCAAAATCAAAAAGAACAAGACTGTTGATGACACTTAACCCTACTTTTTTTTATACAAATGGTAGTATTGCACTAGATAATTTCCATTTGATTAAATATTGCATCAAAGAACATAGAATAATAACATGCAAAAAAGCAGACAATGTCCCACAACTATCACAATTTTTCTGGCTTTTGTAACTATGAGACAAGAGCTGTTACAAATTCATCCAAGCTAGTTAACATGTTTCCCATGGGAACGAAGCTTGTACAGCTTGTACTAAAAAAGAAGTTGACAATTCTCTGTTCAGAAAACAATATAATATAATACAGCATTTGATAGATGAAAACCTTGGCTTTCTATTTGTTACAAATAATGTAGTATTAAATGTAAGAGAGAGAACTATTAACAAATCCTCAAAGAGAGGATGTGACAATTGGGTGTGACAAGAGGAGTCTGATTTTCTATTTGATGGCCCTGTAACCAAACAAGATTGAAGGCTAGAAAAATTATGCTTTGTCTGAGCAATGAAAATATATAGTGAGTAATTTACATTAAATTTCATACTTATTGGAGGGGTGTTGAATAAATTATAGAAGAGGGTATGCCTGGAGAAAAAATGTCACATTTCTCAAACTAGGAGAAACTCAGATTTTTTTTAATATTGCCTTATAAAATTAGGAATTCAAACTATATATAGTATTAAAATATGGATTATTAGCCGTGAGTTTACGCTGCACTAATTGGTGTAACATTTTGAATGTAACTCATTAAAAACCTCGTGACATGCTCAGTAAAGGATGCCCATGGTGAAAGGGTTAATGTGGATAGTTTATCACAACAAACCTCTTGCAGTGTTTTCATAGTTTCCTATCCCATTGGATTATCACTAAAGAGCTTGTATAATGAATTTAATATTCTAAAAAAACACATCTATCAATGGCACATTGTTGGCTGCTTGAGAAAGATCCAAAGATAAATGAAGAGCAGTATATTGGGTTTGAATAAGATGTTAACAGCCACTCTGCTTCAGCTTAGCACCAACTCCACCATGTGCGCTCACCATAACAGAAGCTTCATCACAACTAAGTGAAACAAAACTTTTTAGCTCTATCCAATAATATAATGTTTCTATAACAACTTCAACAATTCCATCAATAGTGCCATCACTCAAATAACACAACTACAAGAGAGATGTAACTGGTTTATCACTATGAACCTAGTGAACAAACAATGCAAGCTTCTTTTGAGCTGTTAAATCTAGTTCCATCCAGACATAATCCTATAAATGGAACATTATGGTGTTTTTGTTTTTATGTCTTCATCTAATGCATCACATCTTTCTTGAGTGTTCCTTGATGTTTATAAATGCCATTATTAAACTGATTGACTCATTTAATTTCGGTTGTTCAATTAAACTATGAAATTTTTCTTTTGCTATTTCTTCCCTGATTATGAACAACATTTTAAAATTTTAATGTAAAAAGACCTGTTATTAACACTTATAATAATTAGAATGAAATGTTAAGTAGATGAGAACTATTGTTTCATTAAATAAGACTGTATTAGCATTAGTAATATAGTAGTATTTAATGTAATACTTTTTAACAGTGTTATTTTATTAATTTGCTTATTGTTTAGTACATTTATAAATTACTTCGATTTTCATGCCAAGTTTGAGGTAGAATATTTCATTATCTTATAGCACTTTTAACATTATCGTATGACCAAACATTCATAAACTTTAAAAGAATAATGAAGGTATGTCAGCTTAAAACTTTGAATAGGACTAATATTTAAGTTGTAACAGTTAACATTTACATGTAAGCTCTAGCATGAAGTGTTACTGCTGTTTGAACTACCTCTATCTTATATGTGTCTTGGAAGATCTGCATGCTGGAAATTTGTGCATCCACATGTAAAATAATTATGTACTGAATTGGCTGATAAGCAAATTCTTAAATTCCAACCAAGAAAATTCACATTTCCATTCTGTCCTGTACATGATTTTTGACATTCAGATAATGTTCTTGAATCTTGATGGACAAACAGACTGGAAATTTTTTTTAAAGTATGTAACTTTCAATGAGACACACCAGTAAATACAAACAGTTACTTAATTGGTTAGTATTTTTCTTATCTATCATGATCACTTCAGTTCTCATCTCATGTTGTCTAAAAATAACTTACTTCAAATTTCCTTATTTGTCAGACAGTATTATTTGTGAAAATGGGTATACAGTAGGTAAGACTTAAACCATCTCTGGTATTTGAAATTGAACTAAACTGTTTTACACAGCTTACCATGTTGATGTGACCATTGGAAAAGTATTGTCTTAAAATTCAGGTATATTCTTCTTTGTTTGAAGTATGTTTTGCCTTACATATTGATTATTAGTTAAATTTAAATGGGTATTATGAGAGTTTTGAGACACCTGCCCAGCATATTTTAGTTCGTTATATTTTTAATGTTTGCTCCTTTACTGTTTGTTCCTTAGTGGTTAGTTAATTGGCTGTTAACATTATTAATGAAAATAGCTATTAAATTTTACTGTGAATTAAAAAACACTACATTCTGGAAGAATTCTTCTTATGCTATAATACCTCGAAATATAGGTTTAACTATTATTACTGATCGGTCATATACTATCATTAGACTTACACTTTGTATTTGAATTATTGTTTATTTTACTTGCCTCTCTGCAGGGTTGGATACAATGTCAAGAAATTGTTCAAAGAAGAAAACCTTTATATGGACAGAGAAAGTCAAATTAATGCTATTAATAAAACTTTTGAAGATGCCCAAAAACCGGTAAGCAGTATAATAACATTTTAATAACTCTTCCTAATACATTAGTATATGCGAAAATAAATGTAAATATATTTATCCTTTTACCTTTTCTGGACAATGGGGATGTCGCTGATACCACCTGATTTTCCCTTGTGTCATTCAAAATACATAGAACCTAGCACAAACTTACTAAATACTATCTCATTTCTGCTTAAATAAAGTGGTTTAATTTGATTTAGTATTTTTATGGTTTTAATGGTTGTAAAATTTTCAAACTTTTTGTGATACATTTTTCGAGATGACATTAAATTACCTTATTTTGTCTTAGAATTTAAGTGTTGTTTTTTAATATGAACTCTGTACATCCACCCAGTTGATTGGTATTCTTTAACATACTGCTTTTGATACTTTACTTTGCTAATCGCAGTAGTTACTACTTCTAGCTGTAAGTCAAAATTGACAAAAACCTATGGGTGACTTAAGATCTCACCTTTCTAAATACCATCAATATTTACTTTGAAAGCAAGGTATTGTAATATTTGCTAACAGTATTCTTGGTCAAATTCAGCTTATATCTAACAAATATAGTTTTTAATAAATAATACGTTTATGTCTATGAATTGTTTGAATACAACAGACTTAACAATAATATTCAATAAATAAGGATTTCTTTGCTGTTTCTTACAATAGTCTTAAAACCTAAATTTACCTGATGTCTTGTCATAGAAGAAAATTTCTTTAATTTTGAAACAAATATAATTCAACATGAAAATACTTTGAGGAAGAAGAGACAGTTTACATAAGGTATACTAAGTTCTGAAATTTATGATTTATTCCTTAATTTTGTGAACTTCCCATTAGATTAGTTTGTTCGATTCTAAAGGAGCTTTAGTTATCTAATAGCTTGAGAAACCACTTTATTTACTCTGAATTGATGTAAATAGATTTTGATTTACTCCATTCATTCATATTTAGCCATTGGATTTAGCTATTTTCAAAACTGACCATTATTAATATTGTTCAGACCAGGTTCTATGACGACATAAAGGCCCTTAACAATAAAACCACTAACAGAGAAGAAAAAACATGTGAAAAATAACACATCAATCACTCTATTTTCAAGGGATGATAGTTTCATAGCAAATATAAACCTACACTTTTGGATGAAAAGAAAAATTTTAAAAATCGGGTACATAATAATTCTGAAAATGCTACTTGCCAAAATGATGATTACATGTGATCTGTACATAGTAATTTATGTTATTCCAATTCCAAATGTGGTTTTTTCTCAGTGCAAGATGTAGGCATATACATTGCTGTATAAAATCCCATGTACTGTATCATATCTATAATTATGTTGTGCTGCCGCAAGAGACAGTTGTGCTCTCTTAACATACTAGATTATTTTGTATAAAATCCCATGTACTGTATCATATCTATAATTATGTTGTGCTGCTGCAACGGCCAAGTGACAGTTGTGCTCTCTCTCTTAACATACTAAATTATCTTGTATAAAATCCCATGAGCAGCACATCATCATTATAGACATGATACAGTAGGCAAGAGCCAAGAGACAGTTGTACACTTTTAACATACTAAATTATCTTGTATAAAATCCCATGTACTGTATCATGTCCATAATTATGTTGTGCTGCTGCAACAGCCAAGAGACAGTCATGCTCTCTTAACATACTAAATTATTTTGGCCCTGAAAACATTAACATTTTATCATAGAAAAGAGCACTGCGCTTTATTGAGACAGGATCGGCAAATTATAACTTGTGTAGGCTGCACGTCAAAATCACAGTAGTGGATGCAGGAGGGTTAATTAACATAAACTATACAAAAAAAAATATATATTTTATGAAAAGACTTTTCAAAGCTGAACAAGTGACAATGTAATGGAATTGTGTCTTTTGCACTGTTACAAACATCATTTTTTACCTGATAGAGTAGGTGAGTAATTTTTTCCCCATCTTTGAGAAGTTTTTTAATATTATTTTTAAACATTTCTAATCATTGTCAAAGCTTTCATTGACTTTGTTGTTAAATTCATGGAGGTGTACATAAAACAATTCTCTAAGCCTAGCTAATTTTTTTATCTCTTTATGGGTATTGATACTCTTCTTTACTTATAATAGGTTTTATTTCACATTCTACAGAAAATGGTTAGCTAGATTAATTTACTCATTTGGTCATATTGTTTCAGTGGTTTAAAATAGACAAAGATATATGTGATTCAAATGTAATAAAAAGATTTGAATGGATATATATATATATATATATATATATATATATATAT